TGGAAACCACACCCTGAAGGTACCTACAGCACAAGATACTGATCAGTCAGAGGTAGGAATTGCAAACAGGAGTTTCACTTACATTAGAGGTAGGTAGAGGTCAGAGATTTTGTTTGGAAGGTTTTGCCAAATATGCATAGTTAAACAAAAGTTATGAGCTGTTTGAACTAGGAAAACGAAGCCAAAAGAGTCTGGAGTAAACAGGACAGACTGAGGGAGGACTTACTGTAAAGCCAGAAGAGCAAATCCTAAACTCACAGAAGGCTACAGGTATCTTTGATATTTGTGAGAGTATTTGAGGTGTTCCAGTTAGTTAGAATAATCTTCCAGACATGTCAGAACCCAAACAATTTTAGGAACAGCAGAAGTAAATAAGGTGGAAACAAATAACCATACAATGTAATATTTCACTAATAAAATGCCATTTTAATTACTTTTTTTACAAGGAATCCACCTATACACTATAGAAAAATAAACACTACAGAGACTTTTTGCAGCTTACAATACAGAACGCAGGCACAGCAGTTAATTTAATCTCACACGAGAATGTAAAACCTCGTTCTTAATGAAAAGTCCTTCTTAAAGTACTAAAATTGAATAAAAACCATATAAAAACCTGCTGTAAAAGCACTGCCCTTTACTCAATTGCACAGGAAATTGCAAGTGCTTCTGTTCAGTAAGGACCAACTCAGGAGGAAGGAGCAGGACAGACTTCGTAAGCATTCCCATCACTTTTTCATGCTTCTCTGACGAGGTGGGTCTGGCACTTGTCCTAAATTTAGAACAAACAAACTATTATTAGAACACTGCTTGTGTTATGAAGCAACAGGGTGCAGTTAGCAGCGTGCAATTTCCTCAGCATGCTTCGTATGAGCTACAGTGAAAGCGATTCCCACTTTCACGAGTCACCTAGGAACAATCCAAAACAGGATTTGAAAGCTCACACGTCCGCCAAAGCAAACCTTCACATGCTGGGACCAGCTCTCCATTGCAGCCCTGCCTTACCCACAGTAACAGGGCTGCTCCACACAGGTCTGCTGCCACCACCCCGTGGGGATTCTCCTGCTGGGCAAGGCTTTGCCACTGAGCAATGTCCTAAAGTTCGTTATGAACTGAGAAATCACTTGGCTTAGAGCACTGTTCTAAGAGTTGCAACATCATGCTGTAACACCTGATGTCATCATTCTATAATGCCTGATGTCACCATACGGTAACACCTGACACATCACTCTAATGCCTGATGATATCATTCTGTAATGCCTGATGTCATTATTCTGGTAACAGGGAAATGACAGAAATTATATGCGCTTCTCATACGAGCTGCTATTCGTGGTGTCCAGTTGTGGAACACTTATGTCGCTCTTGGAATAAAGCGAAATACCCTACTTCCATAAAGGCTGTCAAGTTTCAAGTCTAGAAGTTGTTTAGCTACCTATATCTGCCACAAGCAGATGCAGCATTGGTGGGGGGAGAATCCCAAACCCCCATGAAGTTACGGCATGAAAGTAAAGTCCTGTTGAGAACAATGTCAAAGTTCCTAACCTATTCCCATGGAACAGGTAGCCCAGAGAGGCTGGGGACTCTCCATCCCTGGGAGCATTCCAGGCCAGGTTGGATGGGGCTTGGAGCAACCTGGGCTAGTGGAAGGTGTCCCTGCCTGTGGCAGAGGGTGGAACGAGATGAGCTTTAAGGTCCTTCCAACCCAAACCATTCTGGGATTCTGTGATTCTACATGGATTTGTCACTGCAGCTGTCGCCTTTAGTGATATATGTGGGCAAAGGACAAATTAGAGGAGGCAAGTCCACCTGGGAAAACACTGGCGATAATGATTATGTTTAGGAAAAGAAAAATGTTAAGGTGTGTATGTGCAGCGTGGGAAGGAATCCACACCACCTCTACATTCCCTCAGTGCCACAGCCAAATACCTACCTGCTCATCTTTCCAGCTTTTGGCTGAAATGATGGGGAGCGAAGGGTGGAGGCTGGTGGAAGGAGCAATCAGTGCTTGCATGGAGACCAAGGACCACAGTGATCCAAAAGTGGAAGTGAACTGCTTGTGGGGATGAGCAGCCAGAAGCAACACGGGGAAGGAGCCAGCAAGACTCCTTCCTATGGGCTGGATGAAAATGCCACTGGTATTATCTGACCTGGTGATGTCTATTAGCTCAGACCAGGAAGCTGCCAACACAAACCTGGTTGGGTGAAGCAAGCTTCAGGGAGGATGCTCCAAAGTCCCTGGAACCTCCATGCGGGAGGCAGAGCTAAAGCTTTGTGCTTCTCCCTGGGCCTGGGATGAAGCTGTGTGATACCCCAATGTGAGCCATGGTCACCAACATTAGAAAAGACATATAATAATATTCTGAAAGGCAATGACCTGAGGATGATGTGATGACAGTTTGTGAGTTTCTCCTTGGGACCAGGAGGAGTTTCTGTGCTATAACCAGCATATAACAACACGAAGCAACTAGAGTGAATTAAAGTCAATTCAGTCTAGAAATTAGGCAGTGCTCTAAATAGCAGAGCTAAGTGCCAATACAATCCTTGGTGTGCTCTCTGATCTGTCATAGAACTAGACGGCTGTATTAACCAGCCTCCAAATCTATTCTTTTTTAATGTTGTGGAACATAAGGAAGCAATAAATGCAGGAAGCATTACAGTTAGTGCTGCAGAGAAAGCCCAGCTCAGCTATTACAGTAGCTATCTTTGACTTTAAAGCAAATTAAATATAGACACAACTCCATTTAAATTGCACCACTTGCTTATTTAGACTAGGAAACAGGAGATGAGATGGAAATCATGAGAAATATGATGTGGCTGGAGAGCAACCAGGCAGAAAGGGACCTGGGAGTTCAGAGAGATAGGAAGCTGAACATGAGCCAGCAGTGTGCTCAGGTGGCCAAGAAGGCCAATGGCATCCTGGCCTGGATCAGGAACAGCGTGGTCTGCAGGACCACAGAAGTGATCCACTCCCTGTAATCGGTGCTGATGAGGCCACACCTTGAATCCTGTGCTCAGTTCTGGGCCCCTCAGTTCAGGAGGGATATTGAGGTGCTGGAGCAGGTCCAGAGAAGAGCAGCGAGGCTGGTGAAGGGACTTGAGCACAAGTGCCATGAGGAGAGGCTAATGGAGCTGGGGGTTGGTTAGCCTGGAGAAGAGGAGGCTCAGGGGAGACCTTATCACCCTCTACAACTCCCTGACAGGAGGTTGGAGTCAGGTGGGGGTTGGTCTCTTCTCCCAGGCAACCAGCAGGAGGACAAGAGGGCACAGACTCAAGCTCTGCCAGGGGAGGGTTAGGGTGGATATTAGGAAGAGATTTTTTGTGGAGAGAGTGATCAGGCATTGGAATGGGCTGCCCAGGGAGGTGTTGGATTCATTGTCTCTGGAGGTTTTGAAGATGAGACTTACTCAGTTGCCTCCCTCCCATTAATTATAATTATTCATGAAAATGATGCTCTTCATTGGCAATAAGTACAAATAACCATGCAAAAAGCTGCCCAGACATGTGGGAGCCATGAGGGGTAAGAAGTGGTTCTTACCTGGTTGTACTCCCCCCAGTCTTTGCTGGATAACCTCCAAGCGATGGATATATTCCGTGAGCGATCGTTCAGGATCCTGAGGTGGCACAAGAGACTTTTCTGAAGCTGAACTTGGAGATGGATGCAATCTTAAAAAGAAAAAAAATTGTTCTTCTCATACTGTACTCTCCAATAAATACAATAAAATCACATTCATATGGGCAGGAGTTCTGGGCAAAGAAAACTGGAACAGCAAACACCACCACCAAGTTCCATATATATAGACTGGGCAGCTTGGTATGCAGGGGAGTCAAACAAAAGGATGTGTTGATAAACCCTGGAATATCTCTGAATCTCTCTCTACTGATCTGCAACACAAAGCCCCTAGGGTAAGGAAGCTGTAGTCAGCAGGGAGTCCCAGTGGCCAAGTGAGACAGACCCTCCTCTGCACACAAGGCCTGAGAAGAATGCTGCCTCCAGGTGGGGATGCACCTGTTCAGTTGCCCAGCAGTGAGGAGAAAGACCTGGGAGTGACAGTGGATGAGGAGCTCACCATGAGCTGCAGAGTGTGCTAGCAGCCCAGAAAGCCAATGGAATCCTGGGCTGCATCCAAAGGAGTGTGGGCAGCAGGTCAAAAGAGGTGATTCTGCCCTTCTACTCTGCTCTCATGAGACCCCACCTGGAATACTGCACACAGTTCTGGGGTCCTCAACATAAGAAGGACATGGAACTGTTGGAGCAAGTCCAGAGGAGGCCACAAAGTTGCTAAGAGGACTGGAGCATCTCCCCTATGAAGACAGGCTGAGGGAGTTGGCGCTGTTCAGCCTGGAGAAGAGAAGACTGCGTGGAGACCTCAGAATAACTTTTCAATATCTGAAGGGCCTACAAGGAGCCAGAAAGGGACTTTGTGTTAGGAACTGCAGTGACAGGACAAGGGTTAGTGCGTTGAAACTGAAGGAGGCAAAGACTAGGTTGGATGTGAGAAAAAAGTTTTTTCCTGTGAGGGTAGTGAGACACTGGCACAGGTTGCCCAGGGATGTGGTGGCTGCCCCGACCCTGGTAGTGCTAAAGGCCAGGCTGGATGAGGCCTTGAGCAACCTGATCTAGTGAGGAGATGTCCCTGCCCATGGCACGGGGTTAGGACTTGATGATCTGTGAGGTCCATTCCAACCCCTAAATTCTATGATTCTAAGAACATCACACATGATGCTTAAAGCAGACAAGAAGTTTTCTTCTTCAGTAGTATCTTGAAAGAAATAAGATCTTTCTCTCAGGACCCCAACTGGCTGAAGCTAATGCTGAAACTAAAAACAAAGCTGCGGCAGAAACTTTTAGTCCTAAGGTAAAATGATGGGGATGGCCAGCAAAGGGCTGTAGAAAAACTAATTTGTCTTCTTGTTCAAGCACCTCCTTCAACAAGCGGTTCCATTTTTATGGAAGACTGTCCATGGGGGGATTAGACCTGGGCAGGGATCGCAGACTGACCTGTTGTGCGAGCGGGAGGAGGATCGGGGTGACAGGCTTGTGAACCTCACGGCGCTGGTTCTGTGGCACAGCACTGTGTCCCTGTCCCGGGTAGGGGGAGAGCTGACGGGAACTGCCGGGGGTTGCTGCTCTTTCAGAACATCTGTTCTAGCACCAGAGGCTGTGGCAAACAAAAACCGGTTAAAAAACAGGCACTGGGAACCATTCAGAACATGCTACAATAAACACAACCAATACACTACGAGGACAACAGCAGAGTGCAGTTGTGTTTGATTTTAAATCCAGGTAAATACTGCAACTAACTGCTTTTTTTAGTTTGGGTTTTTTTTGTTTATTTGAACCAGATTTAACAGAAGTTTGATGCTGTTTTGTAGTGAGGTAGAAATTCAGCACTTGAGGATTGAAGTTTCCTAAGAATCACACCACAGTGGGTTTATGCAATAAGTATTTCCAGCCACTTAGAAACAGTGAAAATAACATAGTACCAGGTAATGCCCAATTTCATCTGGATTTTGTTCAGTGTTGAAAGGGCACAAATACTGAAATATTACATTAAGGGAACAGTTCCACAATACTGGATACTGCAGTAAGATGTCTGTAAGTAACACTTGAAAGTACCTCAGAGGAACACAGTCCTTACTGACCTGCATCATTTGCTCCACAGATGGACAGAGGCAAAATAAACATATTTTGCCATTTTGGTCTTGTTTTCAAATGAAACACATCACTAAGGAGAAATTACCAGGAAAGCAATGTAATTGTCCAAACACTTACCTGTGTTGCCTCCCGCACTGTGAGAAAAGCTGTCACCCTGTGCACTCTTCCGGCCGACTTTGTTCCACTTTTTCACCAAAAACTTTAACCTTGGTAACAAAATTAATTTGTACAAGCATTAAAAATAAGCAAAAACATCCTGAACTTTAATATTATGTTATTTGTTAGTACAGAACATGAAGAACAACCCCTGTGAGAAGGGAGAAGTCTTCAAATTCAGTCTCTGGATTGCTGGCTTATTTTTCACCCTGCATGATGCTTGAAGTGTTGGAAAGGCTTTGCTCATTTTGGCACCGCTTCCCCACTCTGTCCCTAATCTCCAGAGAGCTCTGTGGCAGCTCTTCCTATCCAGGAGGAAGAGTGTGAGGTCGCTGTTGCTGCAGCCTTTGACACTATCATCATTGTGGCATTCGCATCAAAGACACTGTGCCATCTCCTGAAACAACTTGCTAGTAATTATTTTCACTAGACAAAGAAATTCCTCATTAACAACAACCTATTATATTTACAATTACTTTTTTTTTCATTAAATGGCCTCACAAGCCATTAGTACTTTGCATATTGTCCCACTACAGCTAACGACACCCATTTGACAGTGAGAGAGCATGACAGAATCCTGTCCAGCGACACAGAGGTGACAAGTTTCCAGAGAGAACCATCCCTGAAAGATGATCCCATCCTGACATGGCCAGACTATGCAGTGAGGCCAAAGAGGTAAGAGTCAGTCCTGCAAGGACTTCAGTTTTCCATGGCCATGCACTGGTTCACAAACACATTGTGGGTGGGTGCTCTCAAGACAGAAGTGGCTTTTCCAGAAAGTTATGGAACGGTTTGGGCCAGAAGGGACCTTAAAGCTCATCTTGTTCCATGGGCAGGGACACCTTCTACTAGACTAGGTTGCTCCAAGCCCCATCCAACCTGGCCTGGAACACTTCCAGGGATGGGGCAGCTTCTTAGGGCACCCTGTGCCAGTGCCTCAGCACCCTCACAGGGAAGAATTTCTTCCTAATATACTGTGCTGGTTTGGGCTGAAGTAAAGTTAACTTTCTTCACAGCGACTAGTATGGGGCTATGTTTAGGATTTGTGCAGAACACAGAGTTGATAATGCAGAGACGTTTTTGTTATTGCTGAGCAGAGCTCACACAGAGTCAAGGCCTTTGCTGCTTTCCATACTGCCACACTGGCAAGGAAGTTGGGGGTGCATGGGAGATTGGGAGGAGACACAGCTGGGACAAGTGACCCAAACTGACCAAAGGGATATTCCATACCATAGGACATCATGCTCAGTATATAAGGTGGGAGGAAGGAGGAGGAAGGGGGGACATCTGGAGTGATGGCGTTTCTCTTCCTAAGGAACTGTTACATGTGATGGGCTCTGCTCTCCTGGAGATGCTGAACACCTCCTGTCCATGGGAAGCAGTGAATTAATTCCTTGTTTTGCTTTGCATGTGTGTGTAGCTTTTATTTTCTCTACTAAACTGTCTTTACCTCAACCCATGAGTTTACCCTTGTGATTCTCTCCCCCATCCCGTTGGAGGGGCAGTGTGTGAGAGGCTGTGTGGGGCTTGGTTGCTGGCTGGGATTAGACTACGACATACAATCTAAATCTCTCTTCTTTCAGCATAAAGACATTTTTCACACATCTTTAATTTAGTACAGACCAAACTCAGCTAACAAGTCATCTTTGCACCAGTTCTGGAGATTGTTTTTGCTTAACATTGATGTAGGATAAGCCACAGGAACTCTCAAGTTTTGAAATTCACAAGAAGACAGCATGGCTTTACCTCGATATGGCGATGATGGCCCTGACCGCACACCTGAACTTGGTAACGGGTCGTGCCCGTGCTCCAGAGAGCTGCAGCTCTGCAGGTGAGGGGTAGATTCCCATGCGGGCGATGAGAGATAGGGTTGCTTGCTCACAGTCCTGAAATCCACCGAGAAGCAGCAGGAGATATTTCTTCTGATAAACTAGAGCCTTTCTAAAGCTCTCTGCCCGAAGGTACTTTCTATACAATCTCTGCAACTGCAGAAAGAAAAAAATAAAATTAAAACATCTAATTCTGGCACAGTTACAGCTGCAAAAACCCAACCACAAAGAAACTGTCATCAGGACGAAGGTCCAGACTGAGGGCAGAAGGGCAACCGAAACAACTTTGTACACAGCTAAAAAGCACTGAGTTCGGAGTCAGACTGCTTAAACCTCTTGAGTGTTTTCAAGCAAAATAGTCATGCTCAAAACTCTAAAATTAACTCTTTAACAAAGAAAATGACAGCTGCCTAAAAAGAAGTATTAGCCAGAAAGAATGTTGGGAGAGATGCCCATCAGGCTAGATTGCAATCAGATATGTCAGAAGAATAAGAAGTGTTTAAGGTCAGGGTGGAGGAGATTACAAATAATGGATGTTTACTATTTTCATGCTTAGACAAAAAGTCCAAGACACCCTCTCACTTAAGAGTAGAAAGAAACTCCAAAGATCCAGGTTGCTTTTGGTGCAAGTTCCTGTCTAACACCAAGAAAGTTCCAAAGGAACTTCTTGGATGAGCTACATATGAGGAAAGTTTCTAATTTAATATGAAGTTCATACAACTGTTCATCTATAAAACCATCGTTTAAAATAGCAACTGAAGATGACGGCAGTAAGGGAAAGATAAATGCCACAATCTGAGAGGTTCTTTAACCCCTTTCAGCCACAAAGGCTGAAATGACACCTCCTGGCTTGGGCACTGCTGGCTTTCCAAGCTCCAGACAGCCCTTTGCTGGCCACCCCCATCACTTTACCTTGGGACTAGAAGTTTCTATCACAGGTTTGTTTTCAATTTCAGCATTCGCTTTAGCCAGTTGGGACTCAGCCTGTTTCAGGGCGTTCTGCAGCATGTTCCTCTCTCGCTGCCAAGCCTCTCTTTCCAGCTCTTGAACAGAGTCAGCATTGCCTGTGGATCTGATCTAAAACAGAAGCCCAAAGGAAGTGAGCCAGGATGGATTTTGCAATTTACTTCCACAGTCAAACATCTCAAACTGAGTACTAACCCAACTTTATGACAAATGAAAGTATAATAATCATGAGCTTGAAAATCAGTAATGGCTGATTCTTCCCCTGGACTCGGCACTGGTGAGGCCACGCCTTGAATCCTGTGCTCATTTCTGGGCCCCTCAGTTCAGGAGGGATATTGAAGTGCTGGAGCAGGTCCAGAGAAGAGCAGCGAGGCTGGTGAAGGGACTTGAGCACAAGTGCCATGAGGAGAGGCTAAGGGAGCTGGGATTGTTCAGCCTGGAGGAGGCTCAGGGGAGACCTTATCACCCTCTCCAACTCCCTGACAGGAGGTTGGAGTCAGGTGGGGGTTGGTCTCTTCTCCCAGGCAACCAGCAGGAGGACAAGAGGGCACAGACTCAAGCTCTGCCAGGGGAGGGTTAGGGTGGATATTAGGAAGAGATTTTTTGTGGAGAGAGTGATCAGGCATTGGAATGGGCTGCCCAGGGAGGCGGTGGATTTGCTGTCCCTGGACGTTCTGAAGATGAGACTAGATGTGACATTTAGTGCCATGGTCTTGTAACCATGGTAGGGTTGGACTTGATGATCTTGGAGGTCTTTTCCAACCCGGTTGATTCTATGACTCAGGTGTTAAAGAGCACAACAGGAAAGTGAAACACACCAGAAGCCCTTCCTAAAAAGTAACATAGTTTTGTCCATCAAGCTATCCCTTCTCTGATCAGCCTTACATAAATTCTATTCCTTCTAACCATGGTCTACCAAATCCTTCGAAATGGAAACAAATCATCTGGCTTAGTTCTACATCCACAGGCAGCAAAGAAAGGTGTCCATGTACATGCAAAACCAAGTTGTACATATAACAAAAACAAGTTGTGAAGCATCTGTTGAAATTAACTCTGAAAAAATACCTTTAATTCTGAGAAACTGTTTCCCAGAGAAGCTGTGGCTGCCCCATCCCTGGCAGTGTTCAAGGTCAGGTTGGATGGGACTCTGAGCCACCTGATCCAGTTGTAGAGGATGATAAGGTCTCCCCCTGAGCCTCCTCTTCTCCAGGCTCAGCAAGCCCAGCTCCCTCAGCCTCTCCTCATAGCACTTGTGCTTCAGTCCCTTCACCAGCCTCGTTGCTCTTCTCTGGACCTGCTCCAGCACTTCAATATCCTTCCTGAACTGAGGGGCCCAGGACTGAACACAGGATTCAATGTTTTGCTCTCTAAAGTCTAGAAAGGCATGTATCTTTGGAGTGCTGACTGAAGTCTTTTTTTGGTAAACATAATTTAAGTCAGAAAACTTGAGTTCCTCTATTCTCATGTTGTCACAGTCCCTGGAGGAGGGAATTCTGCTTCAACAAGAGTAGGGACTATTCTGCCCACAGCGGACAGCTCTAAAAGTTTCTGAGGCTTAGTCAAAGTAACTCCATGAACTTGGAGAAGAGGCTGCATCCCCCTCCTCAAGGCTGGAGATGATCCATTTGGCAACTACCTGTGTGGCTGCACAGGTGACAGAAGGCAAATATTACTTGCATTTTGTAAGCAGGTAGACACAGGGAGAGCTGCATTATGCCAAAGCAGCTTGTCACACATCAAACCTGTGGCACAAGAGCACAGGATAACAGAAGCCACAAAAGCCTCTTCGTATCAGACAGTCAGAATCCCTCCTCAAACATGTGAGGGAATAGAGAGGCTGAATCAGACAAAAGCCAAGACTGTTAGTTAGCCTTAAATCCAAAATTTTGGCTGATAGATGGTTGAACATCTCTGTCTATTATGAGAGAAAGACCTAAACAACAGTGCAAAGTTTTCTGGGGAATGAGATGGCTTTTAGCCATGCTTTATGATGGACCTCATGTCAACAGACCTGAGCTCTGTCTTTGCTAATCCCAAGGCTTATGTAAAATGGTTGTAATACTGCAAACATCAGTCAGAACAACCTCCGGAGATGACAAACCACTCACTCTTGTGCTTTTCAAGAAAGTCCTTGACACTTTGGTGCAAAACAACTGTGTCTGGTTGCATACAGAAGCTGCAGCAACACATCCTAGGGCTTGGAATGCTTGGACATATCACATATCTATGAAAAACATGCCATTGGGATCCAACTCTGCAATGCAAGAGAATAGCAAGAGGCTGATAGTAAAATATGCTGGTATAATGGTAGTGTGGTTATAGGAATACACCTCCTCTACCATCCCCAGGGCAAAACAGAGTTCTCCTCAGAATGTTTGAACAAAAAAGGAAGAGGAGGGAAGGAAATCAATCAATCAACTTACATGTGTGCTGTAAAGAATATAGAATAACTTAGTGACAATCAACCAATGCATGCCGTTTACCTTACCTGAGGTGCAGGAGGAGCCAATAGTTCTGATTTTAGTTCTCTCAGTGTCTGCAGTAAAGAGGCTACAGCTTCATTGTTTGATGCAGACCAATCGTTAACTGTTCTGTTAAACAGAAATACCTTCTCAGTGTCAGGTTGATTTGCAATAGTGTTAACATACATTTGATTCCTTTTCCCCAATGGATGACCTTTCAGCTCTGAGGCTGTACTTATGCACTGTTCATGACACAAAGCACTATGAATACACAGAGAAATTAGCCAGTTCTGTTAATTTGTAAGTCTTAATGAGCACAGGGCTCTCAGCCATCACCCACACAAGCTAAGAAGCAGGATGGAAAGCAAACCACTGTTCTATGAACAACTCACTTATCTAGAGTTTTATAGATGAACTCATTCAGATGCATAGCTACAAAGAGCAACTGCTGCCTTATCTTCTCCAGCTGTCCTTGCTGCTGTTGCAAATGGGGTTTTTCAGGTTCTTTTGTCACAGCCTGTTTGGCATTTCCATCTTTCTTTGAGGTACACAACAGTTCTTGCTGATGGGCTGCAGCTGGAGGCTTTGTTTCTCTTTCTTCTATTACTGCCAGTATTTCCTGCAGTTCTTTAATTCTTTGTTCATCCCTCTGGTGCTGCAACTCCAAGTTTTGCTATTGGAACAGAACAAGTAGTAGTAAATTGCATTTTATGCATAGACACACATACTCAAACACACATATCTATGTGCATAGACACATACAAGTGTCACTACACCTAACTAGCATATCCAGCTGGGTGTTCCTTAATTCACAGGACACTTTTAGGGGTAGGCTTGGAGCAATGCCCTCTGGAGCCATGAGGAAGACATTTACTGGCACTGGAGCGGGCATTATCTCCATCCATTTCCAGACATGGTAACTGACAAGTCTCCACAGAGCCTGCACACTTCCCTCCTGCCCTACTGAAAGGGATGAGAAACAAGGAAGGTGAAATCAATACTCTGTGTTAGAAGCCTAGTTCAAAATAAGGGCAAAATGACATGAAACCTAGTTTGGCTCAATCCTATGTTTAACCCATATTGTTCTCCACCTGTGACAACCAGCAATTCCCAGCACAAAGAGATGTAAAGACCAACTTCTGTCACCATAAACCCAGACATAACCCCCTGAAATCAGCTATGTTTGGGAAATGCAGGAAAAGAGCTCATCTAATATGTTTTCTCAGAGTGCTTTGTTTACCAGAAGGAAACATTTCAGTTAAAGAACACCATCAACATGGTTAAATCCCAGTGTGTGGCTTCTTCAGCGCAAGGCAAAGCTCACAGAGGCATTCTCACCAGTCTCTCTTGATCTCTCTGCCAGTCCTGCTTCTCTAGCGCTGTCTGTTGCTGCTGTCTCCACTCTCTCTCCCTCTCCTCTTTCTTGTTCTTATCTTGATCTTTCAGCACCTTGAAGAGTGACTGCAGTTGTTCCCAGTCATCTTTCAGCTTGGCCTCTCTTTCCTTCTGGGCCTCCAGGGAATGGATCACCTCTTGCTTTTGAGCCTGAAGAGACTCCAGTGTGGCTCGCAGTTTGTCACTGACCTCCCTCTCCTTCTGGGTTTCCTCGCAGCACATCTGGACCTCAGCCTCCAGCTGCCTTTTGGACCGAATGGCCTTCTGGTGCATTTTCTCAATAACAGCAGCTAGCTCCACAGTTCGGGACCTCTCTTCTTCCAGCTGGGCTTGGAGCTCTCGGACCAAGGGTTGTTCCAGCAGCGACTCCCTGTACTGACAGGCAGCACCTTCTTTCACTCTCATGCTCAACTGTTCTGTCAGAACACGCTCATGATTCAAAGACTCCAGGAGCTCCAATGAGCGATTTTTCTCAGCATCCAAGCTTTTCTGAAGCTCCCACAGTTTGGTCTGTTCCTGGGACAGCAAGGCTTCACAGCGGGAGTGCTCGATCCGCAGTTCCTTGCGGAGATTATCACTTATTGTTTTCTCATGCTCTAGAGATACGACCAGCTGGCGATTCTGCACCAACTGCACATCCAGGGCAGCCTGAAGCTCCTGGGCAGAAGGAGGGAGAACATATGAATATTCCAGCACAAACACACTTTTGTGGGGCTGGCTGGAATTCAGCAATTTTCAATCTCCTGTTTTATCCAGGAAGATACTGAAAACCAAACTAGAGTAGTTCAGGTGTTAAAAAATCTAATTTAAAATGCTTGTCAGCAACCTGACACCAAGTAACAAACCCAAAGACTGTTATGACAATACATGTGCAGTTATATTAATTCTTCAATTAGTAAGACCCTCATTAGGAAATCCTATTCTTTACATCAGTCCCATTAACAAGTGACATCTGAAGCAGAAATAACCCATCTTGTTTTCAAAAGAACCAGAAACCTAAGCAGTAAAAGTAGATATAAAAGCTCAGGATTTTGCAGCCCAGCTCTTTAAAGCACACAGTAGACTGATAAAAATAATCAGAGTGGTTTCTGTTGAAAGGGACCTCCAAGACCATCTCGTTCCAACCCACTGACACAGGCAGGGACAACCTTCCAATAGCCCAGGTTGCTCCAAGCCCCATCCAACCTGGCCCTGAACACCAGGCAAAGGGCATCCACAGTTTCTCTGGCCTCACCACCCTCACAGGAAAGAATTTCTTCCTTATATCTAACCTAAATCTACTGTCTTTCAGTATAAAATCCATCCCTAGGTGCATCTGGGGAGCCAGTCTACCTTCAGAAGGAAAGGCAGGGACTGTCGGGGGAAACCCAGGGCACCTGCAGACAGTAAAAGCTGGCACTGCTGTCCTAATTGAGGGAGTCTTCCATGCTCCCCCAGCCAGCACCATCTCTCCTCTCATCTCCTAGAAATTCAGGTCAAATGCTAAGTGACAGCAGCTTTCTGTAACGGATTTTCAAGGGATGATTTGGGAACACCAGACTATGCTGCTGCACAACTTCCCCTGGGGCAATGCACTTCTCTCCTGGCTTTGGCCATGCTGGTCCCTGCCCTCCTTGCATGAGCGGGTTTCTGGAGAGATGGAAAATGTTAGCAGCACATCCTACTATGCAGCAGTAACAAAAAACCCCAGTAAAACCCACCCAGAAACCTAAACACCTATGAGCAAGGAGATGGGAAAAGCCAGGCTACAGAATTGTTTCCTCACTCAGGACATTTAACTAGGATTGTCTGGAATTCTTTTATAGAATTTAGCTTTGGTTTTTAAATTTAAAACATGGTTTGTGTTTAATCTTCCTTTGCCAGTCACAATTGGCCTTTTACAAGCACTAAGTCATTGCTATCACAGTCATGGAAAAAAAGCTGTTCTCTTGTTTTGTGTTCAGTTTAGAAGGAAATGAGAAAACTTTGGTTAGTCTCTAACAATCCATGTTGCATTGGAAAAGCTCCAGCTACTCTCTGCCAAGCCTGTGTATCACTGGGTGGTTCTCTTCATAACCTCAGTGATCACACACCCCCATGGCACATCTGCACTGGAATTAAGGGAGCAGTTTCACAGCTGTAGGGCCTGGGTGTCCATAGTCTGGAGAAGAGGAGGCTCAGGGGAGACCTTATCACCCTCTACAACTCCCTGACAGGAGGTTGGAGGCAGACAGGAGTCAGGTGGGGGTTGGTCTCTTCTCCCAGGCAACCAGCAGGAGGACAAGAGGGCACAGACTCAAGCTCTGCCAGGGGAGGGTTAGGTTAGATATTAGGAAGAGATTTTTTGTGGAGAGAGTGATCAGGCATTGGAATGTGCTGCCCAGGGAGGTGGTGGCTTCACCGTCCCTGCAGGGCTTGAAGATGAGACTGGATGTGGTACTTAGTGCCATGGTCTAGTAATCATGGTAGGGTTGGACTTGATGATCTTGGAGGTCTTTTCCATCCCAGCTGATTCTATGATTCTCTGCTTCTATATTCAGCAAGGGGCAGTGCACAACAAGTGAAAATAGGAAATGGGAAAGTGAAAAACAAGAAGATGATGTGGGGGAGAAAAAGGCATACAGCTCTGGTTTATCTCTGCACGTGCAATTAATGAAGGTAACTGAAAGCTTTAACTCTATGGAAAAAACCCAGAACTCCCTATGGACATTCAGAAGTCGTTTGGGGCTGTAACAGTTACTAAACAAAAAACATCGGAGGTGAAAAAGACTGCACAAATAACCTGCTCGTTAACTTCATGCCTCAAGAGAGTTGGGAGTTACCTCCAAGGCCTTTGTCTTTTCATCCTCTGCTTTCCTATGCTGACGCTGTTGTTCCTCAATCCAACCTCGCAGCCCAGATTCCTTCAGCTGTTCAGCCTGCAAGTCTTCACGGGCAGCTGCCAAATCCTTCTCTTTTTTTTCCAGTTCAAAACTGCAACGTTCAAAACGACATGTCTATGTTCAGAAGAGAACATCCCTCACCAGCAAGGCAAGCAAGATATTTTGGGTTACACTGTCTTTGAGTTGGTCTGTTGATTTGTTTCTTTGAGGTGGCCTCTGCTCCTTCTAAAGGGGGTCACTTTGCAAGGCACAGCTATTTTGCATCTGAAAACATTTATCTCCCTGCAAGCTAAGCTAGAACTGCTCTGTTTAGTGACAATTAACAGACAGGGAGAAGTTATTTACCCTGGCAGAGCAAAACTGTTGTCCCGTGAGAGGAAAGAAAAACGCTGGCATACACTAGGAAAGGAGGGGGAAGGGAAACACAGCCAGGATGACAGAAGTTAGTAAAGAAAAATTAACTAGGCCTGAAATGTGAGAGAGGCTGTTTTCCTTCTTGTGTTTCCAAGTGCTAAGCCATCTGTGGATCCAATTAGCACAAAGCTCTTTTAGACCTGCTGATAAATCAAGTACATGGATAAATCTACTCACCGTAACTGGTTTGTTTCCCTCTGAAACTCTTCCAAGGATTTCTGCAACCTTTCATTCTCTTGCTTACTTTCATAAAGCTCTGATTTCAGGGCTGCTTTTTCTTGATTCAGGAGATCACACGTTTCAGAGGCTCTTTGCTGCTCCTCAGACAGGGTGCTGTGTAAGTCACTTATGACAGACTTTCTGAAGCTTATATTCCAGGAGCTCAACTAGGATAAGAACAAAGTAACAGTCATGTGTATTACAGAAAACTTGGCAATATGATATCACTTACACTATTCAAACTGGGAAAAAAAAAAGTAAAATCAGCTGTATTAGAGAGTTCTTGTCTGGAAAATTAATTTTGTTTCCAGCATGAGAGGAATCAGCAGAAAGATGAATAAACACACTGCAGTTCTGCTGCTCACGGACCAGGCAAAGTGAACAAGAAAGCTGATGAGACTCTGATTCCATCACTGGGATACACTCTAAGTAACAGGTACTAACAGATTCTAAACCTCATTCAGCAAACCCAGGCACTTACATAACCATTTTATGACAGGAGCCACTGAATAAAACCTATGTTTTGTCAGCTCTGTTCAGCATTAGGAACTAGAATTCTGAATGATAGGAAGGGACAAACAAAGACAAGGAAAAAGCAGTGCTTTGCTTTGAGGAGAGATGTTAATCTGATCACAGACACTTATAATTGGTTCTTTGT